GTTTGTTTGCTTGTTTTAATCAATTTTAAATCATGCTTTTTATTTGTTTTTGTTTCTAATGTCTCTGTAAAGCACTTTGAATCACCTTGTTGTTGAATTGTGCTATACAAATAAACTTGCCTTGCCTTGCCTTGCCTTGCCTAAAAATGTATAGTTTCATGCATCGGTTAAAACACTCGACTCCAGGTACGACGCCCAGCTGGAAACACTTCACGCAAGACGAACTGCCCGAGATTCACAGAATTTACAGAAAATGTTACGTTTTTGTGATTTATATCGTTATCGGACGATAGATGTCTTAATATCGGGATATGAGATTTTGGTCATATCGCACAGCCCTACACCCTCCTCAAACACATACATTTCTGAAGATTTGTAACCAAGTTGTGTTGAACAAGGTAATGACCCCTAAAACGGGGAGCATATGGAATTAGGTGTGGCGAGTATAGTTCACGGCGTGGGTGGGCACAGGTCATTATGTGATGAGAGATCTTTAGATGCATAATGAGAGTAAGCGTTGAGCGCTGCTGGGAATGTATGTGCTTGTCGTTAAGGTAAGTGGCATGCTAATGTTTTTGGCCCTGTTTCCGTCTAGCATCCACCACGGTTCATCGGATGATGTGACTGCTGTCAGAGCCTAAAAAAACACAGCTGTGTTAAGAGGACACAGAAAGAGCATGAGGGAGTGAGTCCAGCATGTGTGAAAGTGTGGCTGCTTCAAAGGGATACCTCCCACAGCTGCACTTTGACCCCCGGAGGTGTAACTGATAAGAAATGCAGAATATTACCATGTCTTTTGCCCATGTGCTTGCTGTGGTCTTGTTTTACCGTTTTTTTCTTACATACACAGGTGTCTCTGTGTGTGTTTATGTCTGTGTGTGTGTGTGTGTGCGTGTGTGTTTGGATAGCTCTGTGGTGGTTTCCAGATCTGACACTAATGATGTGTAGTCAAGGCAGAGGCACACCCACAGGTTTCAGAGTCTTTCTGGATGTTGTCTTTTGCACACATTAGACCTACAAGCCAGTCTCATACCACATTCTCATTTCCTGACACACCTGACTGACTTGACAAAACATATGGTATACGTATTAAAAACATAAAAATCACACTTACGTGGCTCTCTGTCCTCTGCCTTTTAAAATCATCCAATTAGCATTCATGTGCCTATCTGATTGCTTTTTAAGTCGCCTGCACGCTTCCATCCAAAACCAAGGCATCTGTGACTAAATAGCAATGCCAGGCTTTTAAACTTAGCCAGATGGTCTGTCTTTATTTGTATGCCTGTGTGTGGATATGTCTGTGTGTGTCTGGGCATGCAATCACATCAGCAACTCCTACAAGGGAAAGCAATCGAGTGTATAGTGTATAGTGGTGTATAGCATTCATAAACACACTTAGATGCTCTTCTGTTTTAACAACTTTGCATGAATGTGGAGTAAGGCAATGAAATGTTATTTAATGATGATGTTTAAACTGTTAAATGAAACACAGGCGAGAATATTTGCAGTCTACCTCTAAGTTAATTTGATACTTTAAGTATCAAATTAAGAAATTCCCAACTAAGCTGAGAAATAGGTGCTTTGTGCTAATGAGCATTGTGCATCACATTTAACCTTTTCCATACTTTTCTTATTAGAGATTACCTAATGGGCTAGCATTCCAGGCTCCAGGAGGTAAACACATGTGCACAAATATGATGTGAGAAAGATGGCAAAATTTCTTCTAGCTCACATCTTTAATAGCTGAGTTTTACTAGGAGATAAGAGGAGGGACTGAATAAGGAGATTATAAGGGAAGTAAGTTTTAGACTGGGCTGCAGGTGCTATGAACAGCTGGCTGAGGTTGCCTTTATCAAAACCCAGAAACACAGGAGGGAAAACTGTGGGAAATTGTGGACACAGCATGAAAGTTATGAGGAAGCTAAGTAGGCAAGGAGTATTGGGGCAGGACGTGAGCAAAGATTAGGGTCGGGCTGAGGAGGAAGTTAACGGCCAGGGAAGATAAAAGGATGACAGAAGAAAACAGGGCAGAAAAGAAGAGATTGAAATGTGCAAGACACTTAAATGATCACATGCTTTGCAGCTGTGAGAACACATAAACCACCTTACACAACTAGAAGGCCAAGATACAACTATTACACCCAACTAATGTAATAGGGATGT